TTTTTTTCTAAAACTTCTCGTTTAAACGATACAGACAAGCCGTCAAAACGTCGAGCTCATTGGAGCTGGTGGAAATGCACAAAAACCGCACGCCACGTCATGCAGCTGCTCATTTAATTTTGTTCCGTAAGCTCAATTCGCAGCCAAATACGCGATAACGACAACTTGAGTGTACCTACTCTAGAAAGGAATAAAAAAGAGGAGGAAGAGTACACGCAACTTTATCAATACCTCTAAAATTATGTTCAAAAATTTTAATTAAGGTTTTTCGTACGTTGCGGGTACTCGAACGAGCTGTATATCAATTAAATGAGCATACGTAATAAACATTTGCTCGGATACACCTTAATCGTTTTCGTCGCACATGAATCCGTTCGTATGTTTAAAATTACAGTCGAGCGTGCAATTTAGCGAAACTGTTAGTTACGTGTAGCTCATTATTTTTACGGTCAGCAAAGAGTACAAGGAAAACAGTAATTAAAATTAAAGGATAATAGAATACTTTTCTGGTTTGATTGCCATGAATTCGAAATAAGTACCTCAAGAAATTAAGTAAATTTTCAAGCAAATTATAAATGTTAAATGGTTTTCAACAAATTTGGATTAAATATTTATGTCAACTCTCTAGATGAATCGTTACGTGTTTGAAGCCAGTCTATTCGAGATTTTTTTGGTAAAAGTTAACCATGTAATGCTTGAAAAAAAAAAAAATTAACAGTATTAATATTTAATTTTAAAATAAATCATATTTTTAGAAACAACTTTATTTTATTGTTAACTTAATTTTATTATTTCTATTGTTGACTAACTTTAGTTCTAAATTATAAGTAGTTATAAAAATTTTGGAATGGGTACGACTTTGAATAAAAAAAATCGAATCTTATTGTGAAATGGTAATCTTTAAAGAGAGCACCCAATTACTTTTCAAGCGAATATCCCAACGTGATTTCGATTTGAGATACTCAACTGCAACGTGACCTTTAATTTTGTCGAATTAGGTTCGTAAATTAAAAAACGTACAGCCAAGCTTGAAATTAATTGTCAAAGTGAAATGACAGCATATACTGAATAGGTTTGTGTTTGAATGAAAAAACGAATCAAATAATCGCTCAGGCGCTTTTTTTTTCTCTCATTTCGGTCTTTTGGACGATAAAACATATTTTCAACACGTTTTAATCTTCACCGATGAAAAAAGGCTTTCTTCAACAGAAACAAAAGCAAAGAAAAAAAAAAAAAAAAAAAAAAAAAACCCTCGAGCAGCATGCGAGAGCGCTAAGTACGCTTTGTTCTCGGATGCGGAGAAAAGATCAAGGAACACACAGCCTCTCTCCGGGGCCGCGCTCCTCCTTCGTTCGCATTAAATCTCAAGCACGTTTTTGTAGCTGCACCCCAGAGACTGCGCCAAGGATCGACTAACGAATTCCACGGGCAACAAACTAGCCTTGAACTTAGTTTTCTGTTGTTGTTTTTCTTTCTATCTCCCTCTGTTCTGTCGGTACAAAGCGATGACTTTTATCTGGGTTTCATTAAAATATCCACGATACCACGATCAAGTGGTCAGACGTTTCGACAGCTCTTCGTGTACGTACGATTCATCGTTTCAACAGACCACATAGAAATGTTTTTATTATTTTCAAGACTTCCAACGAAACTTGTGCTCGACGGTATTCAGGTATGTGTATACTTTCGCAAGCCCACAATACAATTGTTAGGTAATGTAACTTTACAGACGCAAGTCAATAATGGCCTTTGCATCTATATTTTTGTTTTGGGTGTCACGTGGTGAAAAGTAGTTGAAATGTCGACTAGAAGAGCGAGCGTTTCAAGTACGACTTGATTGGAAAAAAAAAAAAACCACAGAGCTCCGAATTACATTAGTAAGGGTATAAAACATAAGAGATCGGCTGTTAAGGCAAGGAGAAAAAAAATTTAACAACTAATCAAAGAGTTGTACGAGCGTTTAGCTCTTGGATTTGCGCGAGCGGAGAACGGATAACGGATTCAAGCGACGCCTTGGTGTGTTCTCGCTGGAGGATGAGCTACCGAACTTGAGTTTCGACGTCTTTTGGGGCTTCTGCGGCTTTGAATCTTTCGGGGTCTGCGTTTTTACGGATTTCGAGGTGGTCGGAGCTACCGTCTGAGAGGCGGACGCGTCTGTTGTGTTATCATTAGTTCTATCGGTGGTGGTGGGTGTGGTGGTGGTTATGGTGTCAGATTGGGAGTTGGCTTGGTTTTCGGGGCTTACTTGTACCTCGCAGGGAGGCGGCGCGCTCCTATATGATGGTACTATCTTGAATGTTACGGATCCACGAGCTTCTCGCTGTAACACAAAAAAAAAAAACCAAAATCATATCATTCGTATTTACATTCGTCTTGTATATTATACCTATACGTATACATGTAGGTAATTCAACGGAAACTTGATTGATTAAATGTCATGGACACAGCTTGTTCATAAATATTGTAAAAAAAATTGGTTGGCGTAATGTAACCCGTCTATTTCGAAAATTCCACTTGTAAAATTTTACACCATTTAAATAACTCGGAAAAATTTACTCATGGATTCTTGAACTCATGAATCCCATTCCAGCAATCGAAATATGTATTGTGTTTTTGGTGAAATGACCCATACATGTTTCAACTCTGTAATCTACGTATAAACAAGATCGTAATCAACGATATTAAAAATTAATAACTTTGACGCACACGTATAGCATGATTTTGCGTGCAGTTTATTATCCACCAACTTATCGATTCGCGCGACATACTCACAAACATTTATAATTCTCGACAAAGTATTTGTTTTACCATAGCGATCACGAGAGATGATAGATGATAAACTCTCAATGCAAGTACTTACCAGAATCTTCTGTAAGGCGTTGACCGACTGATTAGCTACCGCGATACCATTGATCTCCCTGATCTCGTCACCGACGTGCAATGTCGCCTGTCTGTGTATCATTCCACCGTGCATTATTCTCGCAACAATACATTTCCCGTCTTCGTTCATTTTCAGCGTTATCCCCTGAAATGTTTCGAATGTTCAATGCATGGGACGAAAACACAATGTGTTTGGCTACTGACATGACATTTACTGACTCCACGAAGGTCTTTGCTAACGAGATTCAATGCGCACGAGAGTCTCGAACGCCAAATGGAATGTCAGGGCTAGTGTTGCATGAATATTCGAGAGACAAGCAACTTTATCACAAAATTAGCTCACTTGTGCGCTTACGTGAAACAGGCCAAATAAAATTTTCAATTTGCGCCAGGCCGCATTGCGGAGGAGGCGAGTATAAATATTTATTTGTAAAAGTTTCGCATAGTGACGCGAGGGACGCGAAATTTATCACTAAAACGAAGACACGGACACAAGACAGGAGAAGCGTGAACTTACCATGGGTTCGTCGGTGTTCTTCTGAAACTGGACGAGCCTGACTCTGGTGACGTTCTCGAGCTCGAGTTCGCCGTTCTGGCCCTCAAGGTCGTCGGCCCCGTTGAGGTAGGGAAATATGGGCGGCGGAGTGGCCCGTTTCGCGTCCTCGCCGTAAACCTCCTGGCCCGTCACGTCTTGCGCCTGCAGCAGGGCCTGAAAGCACGCGTTCAAAAGCACCGCGCGTTAAAAAAACACATCAGCCATCAGTTACTCCGTTCCGATGCCGGTATCGTCTGTTGGCCGGCTTCGTCACTATTATACCCTTACTCCCACCCCTTCTTTTTACCGACTCTTTCACGAGGTACGTTTTTACGTATACAGAGCTATTACCAGCCGGAAAAGGGACATTCAAAGTATCATCGGATTTTCTCATTCGTATTTGCTTTCATCCTTTTTTGGGAGGGGGGAAGTACCTGTACAACAATTTTGGTGTATTTCGGTATTGTTATTTTATGTTAATTTTCATTGACCTTACAAATTTTATTTGGCGCTGTTCATTTGAATTTTAAGTAATGGCGTTATTCATTTTTAAGATGAAGAAAAATGAAAATAAATGGAAAAAGCTTATGCGAAAAGAGGATGCACAGTTTCCACCAAGTTGGATTTATTGTGCCTGGTATTGCATAAAAAATAAAAAAAAAATATCGGGAATATTTAAACGACGTGCAGTTAATCTTGATGTTTGCATAGCACGCGTTTACCTATAAATGCGTACCACACGTATGACACAGTATGTGCTTTTCTGCTCTCGAGCTCGCTATAACGAGCCTGCACTCTTTATTTTCACACTATCTTTGGCCACGATGACTTTTAATTTAAATGCAAATATTTCAACAGTATGGATTTAAAATGTTGAACAACCACGAGCGTTAAATTTTTACTTTCCCAAACTCAAAAATAAAATAAAACTTTGCGTAAAATATAATACAATCCAATTAAAATACATGAATTCGCTTACAGTATAATCGATCAAGATACGACGGGGCCAACGAAAAAAATTTATCGTATTTTTTTCTAGACACATCGCATTGTTATTAAATTACATTACAGTTTTGTTTGCCAATGTACATAAAAAATTTGTCACTTTTGTATTTGAAAAAATTTTAATAATATATCCTTTAATCAATGTAGTTTTCAAAGAAAAAACGCGCTTCAATGTATTTTTCATGCTCCCTTGCATTTACACAAACAAGTGCTTTTCTCCGACGTTGATAATAATGCCAAAAAGGTATGAAAAATTTGGCATATCATTTTAACTTGATGAATAAAATACTGTGCTTCCAAAAACAAGGGAATTCGCAGCCAGACAAAGACAAATATGAGTTGTTTATTTGTTATTCAAGGCCGATACTCATATTTGGCGAGCTTTTTTTCTAAAACTTCTCGTTTAAACGATACAGACAAGCCGTCAAAACGTCGAGCTCATTGGAGCTGGTGGAAATGCACAAAAACCGCACGCCACGTCATGCAGCTGCTCATTTAATTTTGTTCCGTAAGCTCAATTCGCAGCCAAATACGCGATAACGACAACTTGAGTGTACCTACTCTAGAAAGGAATAAAAAAGAGGAGGAAGAGTACACGCAACTTTATCAATACCTCTAAAATTATGTTCAAAAATTTTAATTAAGGTTTTTCGTACGTTGCGGGTACTCGAACGAGCTGTATATCAATTAAATGAGCATACGTAATAAACATTTGCTCGGATACACCTTAATCGTTTTCGTCGCACATGAATCCGTTCGTATGTTTAAAATTACAGTCGAGCGTGCAATTTAGCGAAACTGTTAGTTACGTGTAGCTCATTATTTTTACGGTCAGCAAAGAGTACAAGGAAAACAGTAATTAAAATTAAAGGATAATAGAATACTTTTCTGGTTTGATTGCCATGAATTCGAAATAAGTACCTCAAGAAATTAAGTAAATTTTCAAGCAAATTATAAATGTTAAATGGTTTTCAACAAATTTGGATTAAATATTTATGTCAACTCTCTAGATGAATCGTTACGTGTTTGAAGCCAGTCTATTCGAGATTTTTTTGGTAAAAGTTAACCATGTAATGCTTGAAAAAAAAAAAAAAAAAAAAAAAAAAATTAACAGTATACAATGCAAGCGGGTCAATTGGTTCGCCTGTTTTTTTTTTTTTTTTTTTTTATCCTAAAGTTAGTTTTTTTAATAAAAATAAACATTGTTTGAAAAAGTGTATTATGAAATATACTGATTGTTAAAATTTAATTTAAATCATATTCATCTCAGTTTACTTCATGCACAGCCATAACCGTGCAGAAAAATGTATTTAAATAATGAAAATGAATAACAAATGGAAAAAGTAACTGAGAGTAAGAGGTATGTGCACATTATACGTAGATTATAAAAAAAAAGTTGAGTCGATATACTGTGCAAAATAGTACTGTAATGGCACCTAAGTAATATTTCAAAATAATTTAAAGTTTTTTTTACATCAGAGAAGGTTAATTATAAGCGATTCTTAACAAATTGTTTTTCATCAGCTCATGCTTTATTTTATACTTTTACATCGAATTAATCGCATTAACACCGCTAAATTCCAGTCGCGATTAGATTGATTAAAAGTTAACGACTTGGATTTTGTTTAATGATTAAAGGAATTTCAAAAGTGATCCAAGTTGTTCATCGATGCTCTTTTCTTTCAGAGATGATGACAATCATTGTTACTTATCTGTTGCACAACAAACATAGGAAAAACACAAATAGTACTTAACTTTTTCAAAATCGCTATCGTACAACAATATCATGTCAACCATTATTACTTAGAACCAATTTTATACTAGCAGCTGATAATTCAATGGCTTTATAAAAATGTAATACTTTTCGATTCACTTTATGGGTGGTCTTATCGTAAAGGTACAGCCTCAAAGTGTTTATGGTTTGATTTTTTTATCATGCCTGTAAAGACAATTTATCAACCATCAGTTGAATAAACTTGTAAAAGCTGACGACTTTTATTTCCTTTTCAACAGGAAAGAAGTTCATTATACCTGTTGCATAAAATTTTATGCTGGTTTTTCAACAAGTAATTAAAATTTTGTCAACCAATGAAATAAGCACTATTGTACTACAATTTATTCAAGTTATCCTTATACATATAATAATATTAACATTTTACATCACATTTCTTGCATTGAATATGGCATTTCTTTTTGTTGGTAATAACATTTTCGTACTTCCGAGGATTTCTCAAGTTCTTAGCTGTTAAAACATGACATAATATTTAGTAGTATTTATTTTATGTATGTATCGGTTACATGTATTTACAAGTTATAGTGTATAAGAGTCATATTTCAATTCGTTAATCATAAGACCGTAGGTCATACATAAATATGTTTATGGCAAGTTGACTAGAATGATAAATAATATTTTTGATACTTTGAATAAACAGAAAAAATTCTTGCTACTTTCTGTGTTCTGCATCTACCCTGCATCTTTATAAATAACAAAAACGTAAAAAAAAAAAAATGTACAAAAGTACCCTCAACTGCATGGGATTTTAAAAAATATTTATTTGATCGTAACAATCCATATACATGTACTATGTATACTCTAAAACAATAGTGTAATGCATCGTATTTAAACTTAAAAATTCTTGTTTCTTTAAAACTTTCAACGTAATGAGAAAATAATAGTAAAAAAAAAAACATACATCTATCTAAGCTCACAGACTAGATTGTTATACAACTGTATACCGATTTAAATGAAGTCCATATCGATTTTAAAGCAAAGTATCATTTCTGTCTTTTAATATAACGTTCGATAAGAATCTTACGGTCAATAATAATCATTGCTTGACACATTACATCATTTGTGTAAAAGTACAGTACTACGTGGATACAAATTTACTCGATACGTATTTGAATGAATACCCGAAGTACGATAAATATATATGTATACACACAAACAAAAAAAGCAAAAAAAAAATCAAATGTATTACCGGTCATGCAGGCGAGGGTTTTAACATCAATGCAACAAAAACTGGACTCTTTAGCCACTAATCGAATTAACTCAAGCTTACATTAATGAAATTCAAACAAATAATTGAGTTATGAAAGTTACGGTGCTTTCACCGTAATTCGACACAGTCCACGGTTTTGTTACATTACTCAAATATAGCACAGCCTCTTACACAATTAAGTCACGAAATCAATAATAGTACAAGTAAATATTGAAAATCCTCGCTGAGGAACTTTGTGTCGCGCAGGATCGGTCAAATTTAGGCCGTACCAAGAATCAATGGAAACCGTACGGCGAAGCGTAAGTATAGGCTGCTGCAAACTTTTTAAACTATTTTTTTTTTTTTTTTTCAAACTTAACATTTTTGCTAACAAGAGGGTAAGGACAAGCTTAGAAAACTAAACATTCGCAAGACACATGCACACACAGCACATTGTAAAGTTGCATATATTTATATAGTCACGCGCGCGCGACAGTGTTTTTTTCTACGGTGCAATAAGTATAATATACAATAAGTACCTTGAACAGCTATTAAATGGACGCACACATGCGATGTCTAAGACGTAGCTGTCCAAGGGCCTGNAAAAAAAAAAAAGAAGGAAAGAAAAAAGGCCCAATGAGCCTCCATAATACTCGTGATTGCACAATATCAGCAAGTATTATAATTACCTCGTTTGTCACAATATCCCGTAAACGCGGAGAGAAACGGGGTGGAAGGGGCAGGGAGATTATCAAAAGTCATTGTGTCCCGCGAGCAAATGCGCGAGAAGGGGATCACGGGTGGGGCCGCCCAATGGTTAAAAACAACAATGCACCCGGTTGTATGGGCGATACAAGGCGTTCGATTTGATTTAGTGGCTGCTGGCCGCACCGGTGGTACGCGCGAATCAACCGGAGGAAAATATCGGCCGATTATTAAGCCGTCACGTCTGTTGTGAATGGAAAGCCTGAGCACAATGGCAGTACAGGCCGTTATTATACACACGGCACACACACACATACACACACGGTGTGGTAAAGCATCGAGGGATATAAATTATAGGGAGCCGTCGATAGGCGGCGAAAACCCACGCAGACGCCATACGATCTAACACTCACCCACAAGCAGAACATCTTCCCGTTCTGTTGATGCTTTATTAAAGTTTAGATGTACGTAAGTTTGTGCACA